CTGACTGCCATGCTTGGCTGCATCAGGATGGCACGGTTATTGCCACCATAGCCGGAGAAAGGAGGACTGGGGTATTGAAGACTTATAGACGTAACAGCCACAGTTTTCAAACGAGTGCTGAGCTCCTGCAGCTCCCCTTTAAGTCACTGCTGCGTGGGTGCTCAGCACTTTTGAAAATCAGAACGTTCTAGGTAGGTGCCTCGCTTTAAGCACTCAGGTGGGAAAAACGTGGCCAAAGGCAGCTTTAGGTGGGGGCACTTTCACAAAAGCATTTTTCTAAGAATGGGAACTGCAGGTTGTCACCATTGGTAAAGTCTCAGCCACACACCTCCCAGGCAGGCAGAGGCCTTTCTACAAAGAAACTCCCCAAATGTGCCCAGCTTAGGAACGCAAATGACCACTTGTCTGGCACTTGAGAGTGGTCCTAATATGCATGAAACGGAGCAGCCGGCAGCTGCTCTGACACTACAGCCCAGCAGAGGCCTGTGGCAGGAGGGTGTTAGCAAGGCCCCCCAGAGCAGTAGGGTTTGGAGCTAAGACCTCACTGAGATGCACAAGTCTGACTGCTGGGAAGTTTTTAATCAAGATTCAGCCTAAATTTCCTCTCTCTCACTAATACTTCTACCCCCCCCCCGCCAACACCAACACCACCCTTGTATCACTCTGAATAATTGCTCCCCTCAGATACATGGTTAATTTGCTTATTCTCCCCCTACGTCTAACCTTGCAGCCTCTGATCATTTTTGTTGTTCTCCCCTGAACTCCCTCTAATTTATCAGTATCTTTTTGGTAACATGGTTCCCACATTGAATTAAATATTCCAGGTCTGATCAGACCAGAGCTCCTGAGAAAGGGGTGGTTCCCTCCATATGCATCCCATACATCACACTGGACTTTTAGTAAGCTTCGCGCACTGTAAGCTCATCTCTCCTTGTTCCCCACTATCACCCTTATAACTCTGTCACTCCTGCAGCGAGTAGAGGAAGTAGAATTTGGTCATACATGTCGTAATTTCCCATGATTTACTGAAATCTAATATCCTCGTACTACAGCGTTCTGTGAAGCCAGTCTTTATTCAGCCGAGCGTAAGAGTACCATTGTGCAACAAGTACATCACGCTTCGGGACTGCCTTAGGGCTGACCAGATGAACAATAACAGCCCCCACATCGAGCAAGCCTACCAAACCCAACCACCACACTGTAACATAGAGAATGTTACACCCCCAATTGCCTTCCGAACTTTCATCTGCACAACATACCTGGGAGGCAGGTATTTTACAGAAGAGGACACAAACATGGAGAAATCAAGGGACTTGTCCAAGTTCCCAGAGGCAATATGTTGTGGAGTCAGGAAAAGAACCTAACTGGCTTCAAGGCTGAGCTTGATACGTTTATGGAGGGGATGGGATGATGGAACTGCCTACAACGGCATGTAACTGATCTGCGACGGCCAGCAGCAAATATCTGCAATGGCCGGTGATGGGACGCTAGCCAGGGAGGGCTCTGAGTTACTACAGAGAATTCTTTCCCAGGTGTCTAGCTGGTGGAACTTGCCCACATGCTCAGGGTCTAACTGATCACCGTATTTGGGGTTGGGAAGGAATTTTCACCCAGGTAAGATTGGCAGAGACCCTGGGAGGGTTTCGCCGCCTTCTGCAGCATGGAGCACAGGTTTAAACTAGTGCAGGGGTGGCCGGCCAACCTGTGGTTCCAGAGCCACATGCGGCTCTTCAGAAGTTAATATGCGGCTCCTTGTATAGGCACCAACTGCAGGGCTGGAGCTACAGGTGCCAGCTTTCCAATGTGCCTCACTGCTCAACCCCTGGCTCTGCCCCCACTCCACCCCTTGCCGCCCCGTCCCCTAAGTCTGCCGTGCCCTCGCTCCTCCCGCTCTCCTCCCCTCCGCCCCCCAGAGCCTCCTGCATGCCATGAAACAGCTGACTGGGAGGTGCAGGGAGGGAGGGGGAGGCGCTGATTGGCGGGGCTGCTGGGAGCGGGGTGGGGGAGCTGATGGGGGGCTGCTGACGTATTACTGTGGCTCTTTGGCAATGTACATTGGTAAATTCTAGCTCCTTCTCAGACTCAGGTTGGCCACCCCTGAACTACTGTAAATGGTGGATTCTCTGTAACTTGAAGTCTTTCAATCATGATTTGAGGACTTCAGTAACTCAGCCAGAGGTTAGGGGTCTATTCCAGGAATGGGTGGGTGAGGTTCCGTGGCCTGCAGTGTGCAGAAGGTCAGATTAGATCAGTGGTTCTCAAATTTTTGGATTGATGACCCCTTTCACACAGCAAGCCTCTGAGTGCAACCCCCCTCCCTTATAAATTAAAAACACATTTTTATATATTTAACGCTATTATAAATGCTGGAGGTAAAGTGGGGTTTGGGGGTGGAGTGTGACACCTCACAACCCCCAGTTTGAGAACCTCTGGACTAGATGATCATGATGGTCCCTTCTGACCTTACAGTCTATGACCCTATGAGAACTCATCTCTGACTCCAAATCCTCTGCCTTTATCCACAAGATCACATTCCTCAAGTGAAGAGCAGCATTAATTGATGGGACACAAACAGAGACAGGCAAGCCAAGCTTTTAAAGTTCAAAGCCAAGGGAGTTCTAATAAATCTTGTCAAAAATTTATCAGAAACTCTCTGGCAAAGAGCTGGAACTTTCAGGGTGAGGAGGAAATTCATAGCTGTAAAATCCTTCTAAAAAAGCTCTGTGGAGTTTAAGACAGAGGTAATCCAGTTACTTAGGTTAACACGACATTTTGCACTGCAACCTATATGCCACCAAAGTGACAGTAAGTATAGTCCAGCCCATAACCCTCACTGGCCAGGGACCTGACTTGTCATGCACTGAGGAGAACCAGTTTAGTGATTTCTCAGAGAGCTCAAGTACTTACCACAAGCCCCATTGCCATGGCAATATCCACTAGAAAAATTAATAAACAGCCTCCGGAGCAGAACAACATGGAGAGCAACGAAGGGTGAAAATTCAGGGATTATTTTGCTGTCCTCCAGAACTAGGCCAAATGCTACACAGATCCAGTTTTATGAACAAAACTGGTTTTAGCATTTTGCAGTCTACTTTGTCGCTCATTAACACGTTTCCTGGTGAGCCACCTATTTCAGGGCTATGCTACACCCAGGAGAAGGAAGCTGATCACACATGCCGATATATGCATGTGAATCCCATTAGCATCATAATACTTAATAGTACTTAGCACTTACATTGCTCTTGCCATCCTCAAATGAGCTTCCACCAGCTAATTAATAGGATCAGCAGGAGCAGTACGCACAGGACTGGAGGAGAGCAGTAGCATTGGGGTTTTCTACCAATTTACCTGGGCAGCCCCCTAGCATGGACATGAGGGGCATACCGGCATACAGGTGTTTCTAGCACTATCGCTTAGTTCTGGAATTTACATTTATGCCTGTATAACTGCATCTACAGTAGGAGGTTGAATCGATTTAACTACATCAGTTACTAGAGAGTACAAAAAAGCTGTGTGTAGACAAACCTGCACCAAGGGAAAATCTTGTTCTCCAACATGTGCTATATAAATATGATGCACTTTGTACTAAGTAAATTCAGGTTGTGTACATCAAGCTGTTAGTCACTGACAATGCACCTGTCCTGGTTCAAAAGATAGAGAAAGGTACAGTCCCCGCCCTGAGAAGGAGGAGCAGTGGGGTAGAGAGACCAAGCCAGCCATGTTTCCATGGATCTCCAACCAGGCAAATAAGGACAGGATAAAAGTATACAAACTAATGAATGGCCTAGAGAACACAGATCAAGAACTCTCTTCTCCCTCCCTGTTTGCTAACACAGGAACAGGGCACACTCAATTTAGTTAAAAGGTGGCAAATTCTAACTGACAAAAGGAAATATTTTTATACACAACAGACGTGGAACTCAT